CTGAGGGTGGAGAGCTTGCAACTGGATACCTGTTTGCGAAGAGGGGGGAGGAAATTATCAATGCATCAGAAGATAAAACCGAATGTCAGTGCAACGTGATTTAATAGTAGTCGAATTTGTCGTAAAAAGGAAGTCAGTGCAATACGTGATTTAATCGTAGTCGAATTTGTCGTAAAAAGGAAGTCAGAACATTTATATTGCCCACAAGACTCTGCTGTGGGTGGGGTGATGCGTGTGTATGGAGTACTTCCGCACGTGTGTCACAGCTCAAATATGCGTCTTCGTTGTAGACTGTAAGCAAATTACTCACTTGTGAGCCTTCATCTAATGCTTGGCCAGGTACAATGTCCCCAAATCCAATAGTGCTGAAATAAAGATTTGCTAATACAAACTTTGTAACAGAAGTACTACTCTCATCCAAAAAAAATTTCTCCTGGAAATTTAGGTAGATTTCCTATTTTTCGAAAGTAGCAGCTACCCAATTTTCTGTCTACCTGTCATAAAGGAAACGAATAGGGCACCATTTTTGACCAGAATAGCAACTAGTGCAAAAAGAAACCTGACATTAAAGTGCACTTTAATTCTATTTTGCTTCGCAATTCTAACAAAAAAGACCAACAATTACCTTAAGGTTATGAAACAGTAGTACGCCCCATCGAAAGGATTCCAACCTTCCCACCAGCTGAACAGTACTGCACCTCCTAAACAAGATAAGAAAATACTACTAAATGTTTATCAAAACAAAGAGGATGAAAGGTAATTCCTTTAGAACAAAAAATCACTCTTACGAAGAGGGACTTCAATTTTGCTGAACTGGGACTTTAAAGTTAGAAACTGACCAGAAATGAATGCGAATACAATGCAGATACCAACACTGACAGGCATCTTCTCTTTACCGTTTCCATAACCCTAAAATCCTCAATTTCCAATGATTTTTTCCTTTCTTAATATTTCAATCGTTAATAACGTGCCTGCCGTCTCAACGAATGTAAGGACATCTCGTCCGAACGCTCTGACCGATCCGATCTGTAAGAGCGACCGTCGAATTCGCGTATCCTGAAGCTGTTATTCAAGCCAAAAGCTCTAAAGAAAAGCAGCCATCTCTACCTCCGTGACATTGAGCTGTCCATACTACTAGGTTGCTTCAATGGCCCTCCATGATAGGGATGATCCCGATTGTCTCGTCCCAGATCACGTACGAGATCTCGAGCCATGTCACTGTGATCGCGTGACGATGGTTTGCGGTCGATTTCCTCTTCATCAGAGAAGGACAACTACAAAATATTTACAATC